GGACTATAACCCTCATTATTCCTGGGAAGTTCAGTTCAAGGACACTGGAAAAGGATTCAGCCCTGCAGAGGGGAAGGGGAAAGGAAAAGCAAAAAGGGAAGAGGGAAGGACAGCCAAGAACCCTGAAAAAAGCTGAAGAGGACAGGAAAGGAGAGAGCAGGGCAGCAAGTTGGGGTGCCCCAAAGGCTTCCAGGTTTGGGTTATGAAGTTTTTAAAGAAACAGTGAGTTTTTCAGCTATTCCTTTGGAAAAGGAGCAATGGAATCAGGTCAGTCCAGCAGTGGCATCACTGAAGGACACAGAAGGAAAGTGGGAATTAGAGCAGGGAGCAGAGGAGCAGGAGTGGGGTGATCCCAGCACCTCTTGCAGAGTTAATAGAGATTTAATAAAAAAAAAATAAAAAAAATATATTTTTGAGTCTAACTCAAGAAAAAACCCCACTATAAGAAAAAGAAACCAAGTCCTACTTTTACTGATGTCTCGTTCTCAGCCTTTTAAAAAGCTTTTGGTATTAAATTCAGCTCCAACATTAATTTCTGAACAAAAAGAGCTCTGACATCACCAGCTGCAATCCTGATTGGAATATTCCTGATCTGATATTTCCCATGTGCATTCCCATGCTTTTCTGGTCACTGATGTCGACATCCATCACAGCAACTTCCATTATTCCACGTGGGAAATATGGTATCAGGTTTCTGGAATGGTCTGCACAGAAATTGGCCCATTGACATTTCTACCCATACCCATGGATATTATTTTATTGTTCCAGGAAATTATCATGCACCAGGGATTTGGGACAGGTAGAGGAGAGCTGATTTCAGTAACTTAGAGAAAATAACTACCAGAGGTGAAGATGTAAGTGGGAAATAGCACGAATTTCCTTGGAAGTAGATGTGTCGTCCCATGAGGAACAGCTACCACCATTCTCATTTTCAGGTCATGGAGAATATAACAAAAAAACAGATACAAATCAGTCCTGACAGCTCAGTTATCACTGCTGGGGTCACCGGGGCACAGCACCTCCTGCACAACCCAAAGACCACAATTCTTTCTTCCCCTATACACCACAAACACATTTTGCAAAGAATCAATCAAAAAACGTGTATTTTAGTCTTTACAAAGCAGCAGTATGAGGGGAGGCACTCTTTGTCTGGGGGCTCTTAGTGTCAAACAGGAGCTTCCTCCAGTGGTTCTGTCCACGAGCTGACCTGCCATGGCCCTGGTGGAGGGACAGCTTCCCAAATTCCCATACCTTTTCCATATGCCTTAAAATAATTTATACAAGTCACAGGATGGCTGAGGCTGAAGGGAGCTCAGTGGGCACCTGGTGCCACCTCCCTGCTCCAGCAGGGCCATCCCAGAGCACAGGGCACAGCATTGTGTGCACACAGCTCTGCCACAGCCCCAGGCAGGAGAGCCCACAGCCTCTCTGGCCAATGTGTTCAGGGCTGGGCACTGCCCAGGGAAGAAGTTGTGCCTCCTGGCCAGGGGGAATTGCTGCCATCAGGCCCTGCCCGTGGCTCTGGTGCCATTGCTGGGCCCCCGGAGCAGAGGCTGGGCCCTGCTGGGAGCCCTCCCTGCAGCCAGGGCCAGCCAGGCCTGAGGGCCCCTCTCAGCTGGGGCTCCTCTCCAGGCTGAGCAGCCCCAGCTCCCTCAGCCTTTCCTGGGCACCGAGATGCTCCAGGCCCTTCCTCAGCTGCGCAGCCTCCGCTGGCCCCGCTCCAGGAGCTCCCTGGCCCTGCTGTGCTGAGGAGCCAGAGCTGGACACAGCACTCCAGAGCTGCCTCCAGGGCTGCCCACAGGGGCAGGATCCCTCCCTGCCCTGCTGGGAATGCTCCTCCTGCTGCCCCCAGGATGCCATTGGCCTCCTTGGCCCCAGGACACTCTGCTGCCTCAGGGACAGCTCGGTGTCCCCCAGCACCCCCAGGACACTCTGCTGCCTCAGGAACCTTCCCCAAAGAGCAAATAACTTCCTTATTTTCCAGGACAGCCCACATGGGCAAATGAACAAACTCAGCAGTTTTCAGAATAAAACAGCATTAAAATAAAAACAGCAGCTCCTCCTAGAAATGCAATAAAACAGCCTTAAAACCAGCTGCTCTTTTCATGCTATAATGTGGAGTATGTTTTTACAACTTTGTGCTGTTCCTGTAGGTTTATAGCTTCCATATTCCCATTGCTTTTCTCAGTAGAATACACCCTCACATTTATATTTATACCTAAATACATGCAGTGGGCACAAATGTTATGGAGGCCCTGTCTCAGCTTTGGCTTGGGCTGCTCACCCAGAGTAAGCTATTTCTTCCTCTTTTGCCACTGCCCAGGAATATTTAGAGACCCCTTTTTTAAAAAGTAAAGCACTCACCTTAAAATCCCAGCTGGATCTCACGACTTGGACAGTTTGGTGAAAGCCTTACGAAACAAATTATGAATATTTCTATCAAAGCTCTCCCTCTCCTGGCTCTGTCACCACCTCTCCAAACATCAGCCCCCTGCCCTGGGCCACTGCTCCAGGTCCAGAACTCCTCCTGAATCCCAAAACCGGATGAAATCCACATCACCCAAACCACTAGCCCTGCGTAAATCAAATATTTGATGGAATATGCAGCAGGTAGGAGGCATTCATGGAATCCCAGACTTGTTTGAGTTGGAAGGGACCTTCAAGCTCGCCCCATTCCACCCCTTGCCTTCGGCAGAGACATCTTTCACTATCCCAGGGTGCTCAGAACCCTCATTTTCCTAAAGGTTTACTCTCTATCCTGTTTTCCTCCCCCATCATTTTCTGTCTCAAGACTCCTTTCCACAGGTTTAAACCACATTTTCCCTCCAATGGGATGTATGGCTGCTCCCAAGACATCCCTCTGGAAGGGGCTGTGGTGTGCTCCAGATGTTCTGGAGGAAGATCCAGCCGTATGAGGCCAGCAAGGCAGCACCCCCTAAAATATCAGCCAGTTTTAGTACCTGAGCCACACTGAGTTATTCACATTGAGTTATTACCAAGTTCAGCACCTGAAATGCATTGAGTTATCTCCCCGTGCTGGTTTGCAGGAACTTTATTTCCCTGCTGATAGAAATAATTATTGTAACCAGCCCTATCAAACGTTTTCTTTGCAACGAAGAAAACAACACCTGATTATGAAGCACCCTAAATTATGTCGTGCTAGACTGCAAATTACCCATCTGCTGCCTCCAATTAGCCAGGAAGGTACGAGGGGGCCTGGGAGAGGATGAGGATCATCATTTCATGACTTGTTCTGCCAGTGTGCAATGGGATACTGGGAACTAATGGGTGCCATCTGCTGTGAGCATGGAAAATGGGATAATGCACATCAGCTCCTGATGGCTCTGTTGGGGACATATTGCTGGGAGGGATTTGTTATCCCAGCCCCTGCTGGGCTGCATTTATACATTATTTTCTATCCTAATGAAGAAATGATTCTTAGCTGTTGTTTTATTCTACACATACGAAATACCAGGTTTTAAGGTGTCCCTTGGTCTGTAAGGTCCTTTCCAACCCAAACCATTCTGAGATTCCAAGTATTGCTAAGGCCTGCAAAGTTTTAAAAAATTAATCAAAGATAAAGAAGAAAAGAAAATAGAGTAAAAATTCCATTTTATCTCAAGCTCTCAGCCATAGCTGTATTTTAGAGCAGTGGAATCATCCTAAAGGTTTCCCAAATGTCTGAACAGGAATGTCTCTCACAATCCCGAATGAAACTCATTAATTAGCAATTTATTGCGCTACCAAATATTGCCATTAGAATATTTTCACATTATTCAGTTTAAATCTTCCTGTAAGACTCCTGTGATTATCAGCAGACTGGAGGGATGGTTCTGGAGGAATCCCACCTCTCTAGCAAAAAAAAATGATCACAGAACAGTTTGGGTTGGAAAGGACCTTAAAGCCCATCCAGTCCCACCCCTACCATGGCAGGGACACCTTCCACTATCCTGGGCTGCTCCAAGCCCTGTCCAGCCTGGCTTTGGACACTTCCAGAGATGGCAGGGTTGTGCTTTCCCTGCATGCTGAGAGCGTCTTCTCAATAACTAAGTTTCCATTTCTCTACTGACTATTCAAATATATGCAGCCAAGTAGTGTGAATTAACCAATCTCAAACAAATGTATTTGAAATGCCAAGGAATTCCCACCATGAGGATGCTCCATGTCACTAGGGCTGTGCAGGGATGGAATCAAAATCAGGATATTTGTTCAATAACTACAATATCTTGTAATTAAGATAGAGATTCATAGACTTGAGGTTTGTGCTCAATACATCTCTGGCTGCCAAGAAGTGCCAGGAAATTCAGCCTTCAAATATTCTGCCACCTTTTATTTGGGAGAAGGGTGGTAGAGCAGGGAGTGACCATGTTAGCACAGCAGCCCAAAAAAAGCCCAAAAGCTCTGGCACCCAGATAAACCCCCAGGAAAAGATGTTTGTCCATGAAGATGAATAAGTGTCCCAAATTCTTGCCTTAATGAAGCCTATTTTTATAATAAACACCTGTTGAATATGGATTTGCAACTTCTCTCCTTTTAGCTCATCCCCAAAGGAAAATATTTATATACAAGTGCTTATTCACATCCAATTTCTACCTCCAAAATCCCACAGAAATCCAGCATGGCAATTTCAACCCCCCAAACTGCCCTGCTGTCAGCCATCCACCCTGTCAGGATGACCATGATTATCCTTTTCCATACAAGAATTTCTAGAATTGCAAAAATCAAACTCTTTGAGCTTCCAATGGATGTTTGGGGAAGGAAGCATGAAAGTAAACTAATTTTTAATGTCCACAAGCAAGGAAAGGTCTACATTTGGATGCTCAAGTGAAGAACAAGCCCATTTCCCATTGAGGTGGGGCCTCCTTCTAACACAAATCCAGTGACTCCAAAAGAATAAGTCCACTCCCAATATCTTCCCAAATGGCCAGAACCACCTGAAAGCTGCAAAAATCCTGGAGAAAATATCAGCACTCAATAACTAATTCATAAGGAGCACTTACCCTTGGAGGGCTTTTTCTCCAAACCAATCCCCCTTCCCCAGAGTGCGGAGAAAGACGGGATCTTCACTGGGAGAGTCCTCCCGGGTAACGTTCACCTGCGGAAAAGCCAAAACCCCGTGGGATTCAGTGAACTTTTGACAACTAAAACCTCTTTGTTCAAAAAAACCTCTTCCCCCTTTGTTTAGAGGGGAATTTGTCACCTCCTGGATCTCTCAGGAAAGGCTCCTCTGGGAACCATGTAATTCCCCAGAGTCCTGCGCTCTTCCGTGGGCATCGCCAACTAACCATCCAAGAAAATGAGTGGGGATTTTTCCTACTACTCCTGCAAAAACACACAGCTTTAGATTTTTGGGAATGTTTTTAACTCAAAATGTGGAGTTGGCTGCACAAGCACAGTCAAAGGAGAACGAAATTCCAAAAATTTGCTGTGTATCTATCAGCCACACGGCCTACACTTCCATCAGCTTTGTTCCACACAATTCCCAGCATTCCCAAGTTCCCAGAAGGGACAGGAAGAACACAAATCACCGGCATTTGGACACAACTGAAGTGAACCAGCTTGGGGCATTGCAGGATCAAGGGTGGCTCTGCTCTCTCTGCAGTTCAGGGAGGGGACAACTCCAGCTGGAGCAGAAATCAAATGTTTCCAAGTTTTTAACCACGGCTTTTGCACGTGGAAATTCCCAAAGCCAAAGGCAGGATGGCAGGCATATCCTTTTGGATTCAGTCATGTTCTGGTGTGATTTCCCTTTTAAATTTACACTTGTGGCCTGAACCTTCTGCCAGCTCTTTAAGGGGTGGCAGAACCAGTGGCTTTGAGAGGTTAATGAGCAAAAAACAGCGCTGAGCACCTGCACTGACTCATGCATGGAAGGGCAGGGAATGTGGGATGGATGAGCCAGGAACGCCCCTGGACAAACAGAGGGAACTTCAATGCAGATTTCAGCCCTTTTTCCATGACTTCCATGGATCCCAAGCAAAGAGTGCTCAGGGATTAGGACAGTGTGACTTCTGCAAGGTTCAAAGCTCTGAGCCAGCCTCCAGTGGGGAGCCTGGATTAAATTGGTGCCACATTGCAGATTTTAAGGGGAAAAGGGTGGAAAATGGCACAGCAAGGCCCATGCTGCCTCTGGATAAAGGCAAGGGATGGAGTAGCAGCACTTTCCAAGTAGAAGGGAAAGTGCTTGGAAGCCATTTGGATCCATTATTACTCCACAGATTCCTGCACATAGCATGTTTGGAAATCACTTTGATTTCTGATTGGTAGGACTTAAGGAAACAAGTTAAAAAAAATATGCTAAAGGAGCTCAGGAGTGGGGTGAAGTGGGTGGATGAAGCTAACAAGGAAGAAGGGGAAAAGGAATGTGGTCCTAAAAGAATTATCAATGGAGGATGGGCTAGAAGAAAACAGAGCAGAAGTTTTCTCAGTATTTCTAAGAGTGACGGGGCTCAGAAATGTAAAATACTATCTCTTCTCACTTCAGCCTGAGGAAGAGAAGGCTCCAGGGAGACCTTAGAGAAGAATTCCAGGGCCTAAAGGTACAAGAGAGCTGGAGAGGGATGTGGGACAAAGGATGGAGTGACAGGACACAGGGAATGGCTTCCCAGTGCCAGAGGGCAGGGATAGATGGGATATTGGGAAGGAATTGCTCCCTGGGAGGGTGGGCAGGCCCTGGCACAGGGTGCCCAGAGCAGCTGGGGCTGCCCCTGGATCCCTGGAAGTGTCCAAGGGCAGGTTGGACTTTGGGGCTTGGAGCAGCCTGGGATAGTGGAAGGTGTCCCTGCCCATGGCAGGGGGTGGCACTGGATGGGCTTTTAGGTCCTTTCAATCCAAACAATTCCATGATTCCGCATCACTCCACACACTCTGACGTGACAGGCAAGGCAGACATTCCCTAAGGAGCTCGCCCTGATCCTGCTCACGCTGACTGCAGACACTGCAGGTGTGCTCCCAGGAACAGGAGCTGATGCCAGCATTATCTTGGCTTATTGAGCTGCCTTGGTCAAGTTTTACCACAGGACATGGAGGTGATGTGCTCTGGCTTCGGCAGGTGCCAGGCAGCACACACTGACTCTAAAATCCTGTATTTCATTGTCATTTATTCCATGTTTCACTGCTGAGGCTCTGTCTCGAGCAGCATGCTTAGCATGGATTAATTATTACATGCATCCTAAGCCAGGCATTAAAATTAAACTCTCTCCAGCTCCATCCATCCATCAGCCACTGTTGTCGCTTTTCCAAAGCAATAAGCTTGGGACAGAAAACCGGGCAGGATTTAACTATCCCTGTGGGAAGTTCTGTCAAGCCATCAGGCTCCAGCTGAGAGTCTGGGAATTTTTTAGCAAGTCCCCATGCCTTGTTTTATTTTAGCTCCCTTTTCCTGGCCAGCAGCTGTCACAGCAAGATAAAGGAATAGAGGCCAGGGATGAAACCAAGGAGCTGCTCCAGGAGGAGTCCGGGGCTCTGGGAGCACTGGCCAAGGCCATAGAATGTCTTCTCCATCCTCTGGGTCAGAGTTAAAGGCTGCAGGCCAACAACTGGGATTTGGTTTTTACATTTCTTTGTAGATTGTGGACATGTCGGAATGAGTCCAGAGGAGTCATGGAGTTGCTCCTCTGGCCCCTCTGAAGCCAGGCTTGGAGAGCTGGGGGTGCTCACCTGGAGAAGGCTCCAGGGAGATCTCAGAGCCCCTTCCAGTGCCTAAAGGGGCTCCAAGAGAGCTGGAGAGGTACTGGGTACAAGGGATGGAGGGACAGAACACAGGGAATGGCTTCCCAGTGCCAGAGGGCAGGGATAGATGGGATACTGGGAAGGAATTGTTCCCTGGGAGGGTGGGCAGGCTGCCCCTGGATCCCTGGGAGTGTCCAAGGCCAGGTTAGATGGGGCGTGGAGCAGCCTGGGATAATGGAAGGTGTCCCTGCCCATGGCAGGGGTGGCATTGAATAGGCTTTAAGGTCCCTTCCACCAGGCCATTCCAGGATTCTGTGCTGCTGGGAAGGGACAGAATCCACCTGACCAAGTGGGGCAAAAGCCTCAGTGGCCAACACGGCTCCAAACACTCGGCGTGGGAAGGAGATGCACCATCCCAATATTTCTGTCCATGAAAAAATAGCAATAGAAAAAGGGTTTGAAGCTTGGCTCATGATTGTCCATACTCTGGGAAAAGAGGGAATATTATTTCTGAGTGAAGGGAAGTGAAAGGGCATCTAACCAACAAACTTGGATTTCTGCAGGATTAACTTCACTTCAAAAGCTTCTCCATGACATTCTTATCAATCTTAAAAAGACCATTTTTTGCCTTGCAATGAAGACTGGCTCCCAGGAAGTGGAAGATGATGGTGGAAAAACTAGTTGGCGTCTCGAAATCACTGTGTATTCCCTCCAAAATCTCCATCCTGCTATGTGGAAAGAAACCAAGTGTCTTTCAAGTGTATTAGGCAGGCTAAGAAAATTATAAATAGTTGTTGAATAGAAGGAAAAAACTTGGTCTCTGAAATCCCATCAGCATTTTATGGGAAAAGAAGTCAAACATATTTTCCCTGTGAGCAGTGGAAGAGAAACTTAGACCATTTTTTCCCCCAAGGCGAAAGCTCAGACATCCCTCCCTGCCTTTCTATTATTTGTAGAAGCTGGGAACAGAGCTGGGAATGAAGCCTGGAAGCCAGCATTGGAAGGGGGATGCTTAGCAAAGAAATCATGGAATATTGTAGGATTTATTTCAAAGAAATTGAGTTTTGTGGTCATTTACCCAGAGACTCAATAACAGTTTCCACCCCCAAGTGTTCCATGACAGCACATGTGCAAACCAGCAGGGGTTCATTTTCAGCACTTCAGGCCACTCTTCCTTCCTGACCCAGCCAAGGAGTTACATTAAATGTCAAGTGCTGACACATTTGTGCCTCGGGAGGGGAGAGAGAGAGTCTGGAGTGGGATTTTGGGAGCCCCTTGCCTTGGGAAGGTGTGAACTTACCTTTCCTTTGCTGATTATAAAGAAGGTGTCCCCTCGAGCCCCTTGGCGGATGATGTACTCTCCACTCTCGTAGTGAGTCTGTAAGAGGAGAAGGAACCAAATGAAGATGAACAAATCAAAGCAGAGCCTGTTCCCCAGCCCATATTTTGGCAGCTTTGCAAGAACATCACCCTGGACCCCTTTTATCCCAGCCTGTGACTTAAAGATTGTCCTGTGCTAAGGAATAGAATAATTAAACTGGAAGCATTTGTGGCTTGCCCATTTTTCTTCTGCCTGTGCTGGTGCCAGTCTGTGCCCAGATGAATTATCCTCACAGCCTAAATCCATTTTGAGCAAGTCAACGAGACAGAGGAATTTCCAACAGGGAATAATGCTACACAAACTAAACTGCAATAAGAAGTCTGGTGGTAAAATTTTCTTTTCCTTCTTTTTTTTTTTTTGTGTTGATTTTGGTGGTTTTCCAGCTTTGCTAGCAAGGGCTTTATTCAGCAAATAAATTTTGCTTTTCTCTTGTTATTACAGTAGTTTAATCTGTCAACTTTTGCCTTATTTTGTGGAATAAGCTTGCTAAATTCATGTCACAGCTTATCCGTGCTGGCATCTAAACTTGTTAGGATACTTTCATCCCTTGTGTCACCCCATCAAAAGCAATATGCATTTATACACAACCAAAAAACCCCAGTATTTTCAAAATCAAGATTTTCAATTAATATTTAGACACTCCCCCCCCCCCAAACCTTGGACTTTTCATTCCAAACGCTCTGCCCCTGCAAATTCAACCAACAGCAGGCTGGGGATATCAAGAGCTTCCCATCCAACCTCTCCTGCATCTCCTTTGGGATAAAGCAGGGGAATTAATCCAAAACCTCAAATTTGGTTAAGCTTGAGATGTTTTCTTTCATAGTGTTGTGTTGACCTGAGTTTGTTTATTTTATCTTTACATCCCAACCTTTTTATCATTTACAGACTGATAACAGAACTCCCAGCTTTTCCCATTTTCATGTGCCAAAGTGGGAAGAGGGAGGGGAAAAAAAAAAAAGTCTGGAGGAGACCTGGACACAAACTTGCAGGGTTTTACTGCTTGTGTTGGGTGTCTCTGGACACAAACTTGCAGGGTTTTACTGCTTGTGTTGGGTGTCTCTGGAGAGCAGATTTAAGGTGCACATTTTTGGCCATCCAGGGTGAAATTCCTTGGAAGGACCAGATTTAAGGAGCTGTTGGAATCAGACCCCCTTATGTAGAATCTTGTAGGCACCCAAAAATCTAATTAATTAAAATACTGGGCTAATAGCTTCCAAATTTACATCAGGCAATCCATATTCATTAGATACATTAATGGCATTTTGAATATGATTTCTGGGCAATTTAATATGATAAACGTGCTCCCTAAAAAGCCATTCCTTGGTCTTGCTCACCAGTTACCACCAGCACCAACCACTGCAGAACTGAGTCTCAGTCCTGCTGCTGTAAGCAATTCCACAAGTTCTCCCAATCTTCCAACCCATAAATTTCACCCAACCATTCCCACTCATAATTCTTCCCAATCATTCCCACACATGGATCTTCCCAACCCATTAGTCCTCTCAAACTTCCCACCCCGAATCCTAGCCATTCCCATGCATTAGTCTCCCCGAACTTCCCACCCAGAAGTCTGCCAAAAGAATGGAACACAAATTTGAGCTTCAAAGCACCTAAAGCTGCCTCTCCTTCGGTGTATTTTGTCTCTTTTTTAAACTGAGCTCTAATCTCAGCCAAATCCTTCTTCCAACATTCCAATCACATTCCTCTAGTCCTCCCTTGAGTGCCCAGAGCTTTCATTTTCTTTAACCTGCTCCTCACTGGTGCCTCTTTCCATGCCCTTCCTGCCACCCACATCCTCATGTTTATGTATTCCTTCCCATTCTTTAGCAATGCTCCTGCTCTTAAATCCTTGTTTTCTAACTCAAATCAGCTCATCCGTGTGCTTTGCCCTTCTAATGGAATTCTTGTTATCTGTCCTGTCTCTGAGCACCATCCTGGGCAGGTAACGTGCCCAAGAGCTCACACAGGGCTCACGGAAGTGGAAAAAAAGACAAAGCTCTTGCTTTTAGCTCCACTTGAGAGGCAGCAATACCTCCACAGGTACCTCTGATACCATCTAAGATATCTAAAGAAGTGTAGTTGCAAAAGTTCACAGAATCCCAGAATGACTGAGGTTGGAAAAGACCTCTGAGACCAGGAAGTCCACCTTGTGACTCATTCCCAGCTTGTCTCCAGCCAGTGCCACATCCAGCCCTTCCTTGGACACCTCCAGGCATGGGGACTCCAAACCTCCCTGGGCAGCCCCTGCCAAGGCCTGAGCTCCCTTGCCATGGAGAAATTCCGCCTGGTGTCCAACCTGAGCCTCCCCTGGCACAGCTTGAGGCCATTTCCTCTCGTCCTGTCCCTCAGCATACAGAGAAGCTGGAATCTTTCACAGAATAACATTTCCAACCTAAATGAACAAAAGTGAACCTCTTCCTCCCCTTGAACTCCTCCATCAAGTGCGTCTCATGGAGATCCTTGTTTGTCCAGTAAGAGCACTTTATATAAAAATACCAGGTTTTTTTTTCCTTTACTTCTATTGTCAATTTTACTTAAAATGATCAAAAAAACCCCAGCAGCCAAGGAGGGTGGGAGGAGAATGCTCACTCAGCAGGCTTGAGAGGACGAGACACAGATATGTCTCCATCACCTGCTCCAGGTACCCCACAGAAGAACTACCAATCTCGTGATCAAGTCAAATTATGCTCTAGAAAAGGCAACTATCCCATTTTATGAAATCCCTCATCCTGTGCAGAATGTCAATGAGCAGACATTGACATTCCTTGAGCGGAGAAATACCCAATGCAAGGTCCCTTCAAGAGTGACTGGATTTTTGAGACCAACTTCTATTGAAAACAGACAAAATCAGGAACAGTGGAGCCCAACAGCACCAAATTTTGTCAATAAACTCCTTTTTGAATCCCAGTGCTCCCCAGGATTAAAATCTCCCACAGATACAGGACCCTAAGACACGTACAAACCGTATTTCAGTGACCACCCCAATCCATCCATCTCAGAACAGTTAAATGTGTGGTTAATTTCTTTGTCCCCAACATGCCAGGGCATATCTCACTCACGACACAAAAAATCATCACCTTTGCAACTTCAGACCTTCACATCTGCCTCAGGACTTTGGCTCGCTGAGTTTGGTTGATCAATCACAAACTTCAGCAGGAGCTTCTGCTCCTATATACCACCAAAAATGAAATGTCTGAGAGCCTGACCAGGCCTCATGAAGAAATCCCGAGCAGGCATCACAGAGAAACTTCAATTAGGCCTCCTGGAGAAACCTTGCCTAAAACTCAGATCTCTGAGAGCCCAATCAGGCCTTGTGGAGAAACCTCAACTAAAAATGAGATGTTTGAGATCTGGACCAGGCCTTGTGGAGAAAGCTTGAGCAGGCCTCATGGTGAAACCTCAACTGAAAACAAGATGCTTGAGCACCCATCCAGACCTCATAGGGAAATCTTGACGGAAAATGAGATGTTTGAGAGCTGAACAGGTCACGTGGAGAAACCTTGACCAGGCCTCATGAAAAAACCTCAGTTAGGCCTCATAAAGGAACCTTGACTAAAAATGAGACTTTGAGAGCCCACTCAGGCCTCATGGAGAAGCCCTGACTAAAACTGAGATGTCTGAGAAAGCCTACCCAGACCTTGTGGGGAAACCTAAACTAAAAATAAGATGCCTGAGCTGGACTAGGCCTCATGGAGAAACCTCCACTCTGGAGTCCAACCCAACAGTTAAATTCGAGAAAAACATCATTTTTCCTCCACCTGGATGCCTCTGACTGCCGTTTTTATGCTGAGAATGTTTGGGAAGAGGTGGGAAATGGGGTGTTTGGTATGCTCCATGACCCACGGCGCCAAAGGTCCCCTCAGGGGACTAGAGGCACAAAGGTTGCTTTCAAACGAGGACTTCAAAGCTGGAGCTGGGTTAACACCACAAAAACCAGTGACAGCAACACAGGGTTGATGACAGTCCTCCATGTCCCACCCATTGCATCCAAGGTGTTTTTAAAATAAAATAAAAATAACCTTAATATGTTGTTTTGCTGGTGTTTTAAAAAATATTCATAGAACTGTCAGCAAAACTCCAAACAGAAGCAGCTTTTAGAAGATTTAGTTTTCCTGTTTGGGATTTGCTGCCTTAAATATCCTAAAATGACAACAGACATGCAAACAAAATGAAATGGAAAAATACATTTATTTGCTGAAAATGCTGCAAAACCAAATGGGTAAATATGAGTCTTCTGTACTGATCTCCTTAAGAATCACACAGATTTGTTTCCCTGGTTTTACAGTGCATCCTACTCCCAGGGATTATCTAAAAATGCTGCTGCTTGAAATAGCCGGAGGGAAGGATTATACTTTTGTGGTCCTCTCCTCATTTATCCCTAATTTTTGACACTTGAGACATCTCAATAGCCAAGCAGCAGCTTAACTAGAGGGCAACAAGTGGTAAATTAAAACATGAGGAAGTTGCAGTGATGAGGGGAAGAGAGGGTTAACTCATGCCCTTAATTCCATGATAATTATGGAATTGAGAAAGGAGATGAGGAAGGGGACCTAATTGTGGCCTTCCAGTATCTGAAGGGAGCCTACAAGAAAGATTGAGAGAAACAACTACCAAGGGTCTAAAGGGACAGAACACAGGGAATGGCTTCCCACTGCCAGAGGGCAGGGATAGATGGGATATTGGGAAGGAATTGTTCCCTGGGAGGGTGGGCAGGCCCTGGCACAGGGTGCCCAGAGAAGCTGTGGCTGCCCTTGGATCCCTGGAAGTGTCCAAGGCCAGGTTGGACTTTGGGGCTTGGAGCCGTCTGGGATAGTGGAAGGTGTCCCTGCCCATGGCAGGGGTGGAACATCACCGACTTTGAGGTAATTTCCAACCCAAACCATTCCATGATCCTGTGATTTTTACTCAGCTGGCTCTAACAGAGCTGCAATATCCAGCAGCAATTTTCTTTGTTTTTCATACTGATGGTTTACAAACTTACACTTCCTCCTTAAAGA